GCAGTATCATCTGTGGGCTTCATTGTACAATTAAGCAAATGGTTAAATCTTCACTTAGCAGTAGAACCCTTTGTGCTCAGTAAGTGTTTACACCCCTTTCCTAATACGCCTGGGCACAGAGAGAAACGCAGTATGAGAAAGCGATACCTGAAGTTGGGGGTGTGGAACATGTGTGTCAAACTTCATGTACCTAAAAATTTTCCTAAAATTACCTAAAATGTACCATGAGACAAAGTGAAGCCATGACTGCCTTTTGGAAAGAAATGTTGTACATCCACGCTTTGTGTTTATACTTTATGAGTTATGAGTCAGTGTTCTGCTGTTAGAAAGGAAAATGGTGAAATGTGGTTTCCCTTCTGAGAAACTTAATGATTTGCTGCATAACAGGGAAAAATGTTTTCCTGCTTGACAGCATCCTCCATGGTGGGTAGGAAACAGGAAAATATAGGGGAGACTACTGTCAGGTTTTACACCCTACACTTCAACTAAACATCTTAATTTCTTGCTGTTCTTTATTGAGTTTATCATTCTCCAGCCTTACGTTTCTGATATCTTTTAGACTAGATTACCTTCCTTGGTAGGTAGAGGGTATATTAGAGAGAGGGATGCTGGTGTTCCTAAAATTGCAAAGCTTGTTCTGGGGAAGCTACACCTTCCCCTGTTTTATTGAATTGAGTTCCATTCGTTGTTTTTTTGCAGTGCTGGGCTTTCTTTTTTATACATCCCTCTTGGAAGTATGACTCCGTCACAATATACAGCCAAATAATTTCCACCCTGAAAAGCAAGATTTCTAGAGAACCCTGACTTTCAAGCAATTTTTTCTTATTCTTTGTCATCTTAATCAGCAGGACTTAGGAGGAAAGTGGGATAGCTATGCTGGTTCCTTGATCTGCACATAGCATTGTTTCAAGGAGGCTTACATGCTAACTGTGAAGTGTCATTGTATGCTTGAGAGCAGCTGTTGAATTGAGCTGAGTTTTCCTGTCTGTCTTCCAAACTTGCATATAATACTGGGAAGTGTGGCTTATTGCCGAAGAGAGAAATCGGGCAGGGGAGGGGGGGGGAAATTCTTATCCTTCCTTCTGATGGGGACACTGTATTGTCACATTACTCTGCTACTTGCTGGGGAGATGCTGAATCACGTCTCTCTATGTAAGTGGTCAGTAAGTACTATAGCTTCTCTTGCTTTACCCACTAAGAATTTGTAATGTGTCACCTGGCTGAAGCATCTTGTGCTGCTGCTTTCTGAGTTGCCCTGTAAAGTCAGGTAGGTGGAAAACCAGCAAAGTATTCTGAAGCTATATGAGCTCATAGAATCATAGAGTCACTGGAGTTGGACGGGACCTCTGGAGGACATCTGGTTAAACCTCCCTGCTCAAGCAGGGCCATCTAGAGCCAGTTGCCCAGGAGTTCCTGTGTGCTACTTGTGGTCTGGAGCCTACTGAATTTAAAAGCTCGTTTGTGCAGAAATGCATATGCCGCATGGGGATGTGCTTTAGTGTTACTGAGGAGAAAAAATTCCTGGTCACCTTTGATCTAGAATTTGGCACTATTACAAGATGCTATAAACATAACCCAGTCTTATGCTATTTATAGGTATTGTTAAGCAGCCTAGAGGCTTCAGAAGAGATCTGAAGACGTGTGCAGAGTAACTTGTGAGAACAATTAGTTTGAACAGTAAATGAAGACAATAAACCTGCATAGCAGTGAACAACCTGTCTTGTGAGATAGAATTAGAGTGGAAAATGGGCTGTGTACAGTACAGAGTTGTCCAGGAAATGACTGCTGATTTTCTGATCCTTGAGCAATACTTAAACTCTGTGCTTTATGTATTAGAGCCTGACTTCTCTCTTATAGCACCTCTTTCTCTGTCTTACCTTTCTAAGCTGGGCTTGCATGCATTCAGATTGTTGAACTTTTCATCACTTCAGAACAATAAAGTTTGGATTTTACCTCAGCAGGCAGCTGATCTGCAGGGAGAACCAGATGAGTATCAAATAAAGGTGTTTTGCTGGGGAAGCACCATCAGGGGGCTCCAGAGGATACATTCTTCTGAGAAATTAATCCCCCCACCCAAAGCCTATGTTTTTAGATGAACTAAATGCTGGACTTTTGATCTTTAAAAGTCCCTTCCAACCCAAAGATTCCATGATTCTATGACTTTGCTATGCTCATGCACAGCTATTTGTGGAATCCTGAAATTCCATGTCAGAATTGCCAGTGCTCTGTTTCTGATGAGAACTGGTATCAAAATAATATGAAGTGAAAAGAAACAGTGGCAAATTGGTGGGTTTTTTCTGCAATTCTGCAGGTAAATTTGGGTCTTTGCTGCTTCTTTGCCTAAAACCTTTCTGTAAACCCTTTACACACCATTACTTACTTGCTCTGTTTTTCAGCTCCTATCCTTGCATGACCCAGTTATGTTTTATATGGTTTCTCTTATTAAGCAAGGGACTATTTCCATTTTGCTGGCTGTGGAGACATGAAAAATACTGTCATCTAGAGCTGAAATTTAACCTTTTTCTATTGTTTAATCCTATAACCTAGGATCAGTCTAATGAGTCACTTGTACAACAAGGCCCAAGGCTGGATCCCCAGGT